TAAATGGTTGATTTTGAGTGGGTGTAGACATAGTTCTTAACAAACCCCTACTTCTGCAGTTCATCCAGATGGCATATATTTTACAGATTTCCAAAGGTGACAGAAAAAGCATAGACTACAGTAGTCTTAGTGTCCCTGTCCTTGACCCCTGAGCGACCCAGTGGCTGCTCTGCTGTTTTGCTTGCTTCCCCAGCAGGATTCATCCAGAGCTGCTGCTGCTTTCAGACACTGCTCATCCACTGGTGAAATGAGGCCCCACAGGGCCTTTCCATTTGACTTGTGGTGTATTTTTAAAAGTAATACCTCACTACATTTAGGAATAAATGAGTAACCCTGTAACCAATGTTTAGTGTAATGTCTCTTGGCAATGAAAAACAAATAAAACTGAATTGATTCTATGACATAAATGTACCACTTTAAACACTTACCCTATTGCTATAAGTCAATAGTCCTGCATCTCTCATTACCAACATTGTTAGGCAAGTTCAGAAGCACTGCTATCTTTCTAGGGTATTCCATCAAAGGGTGAGACTGAGTTTTATTATTGAGACAGAGTGATTGGATTGTTAGAAATACTGTTCTCCATGCAAAAATAATTACAAAACCAAATTTTAAATGACAATTGAAATAGTTTCAGACTAGGACAAAAATGAAAGAAACTGTATAGAAAAGATGAACTTTTGGAAGATTAATGAGTGAAAATAAATTGATTTCTTTAATTTCATTTAACCAAGTTACTTAGAACAATATGTTTTTGCTTTCATTTGAAAAACAAAGATTTATCTTCTTATACAATGAACATTTCATCCATGCAATAAAGATAAAATCAGTTCATTAAGGACACTGGAAAAAAGGATTCAAGTGTTTAATAAAAGACTTTACAGTTTTACACAGAGTATGAACTTCTTATTGTTTCTCTATCACTACTAAATACATTAAAGTAATATGGAAATTCACATGTGAGAGAAAAAGATGACCTTTAATTTAAGTGTAATTTTACTGGATTAAAGCTTGTGTGTTTATGACCTCAGTTTTAGATAGTGAGATAAATTAGGTGATTTCATTCCTCTTTTTATGTTGCATCTTTGTTAGAGAAGACTTCCACATCTAATTAGGCTCTTTGGTATTCATTTTGTGAAATGCACTAACAATTCATGTATCTGTGTTTGTTCTGTTTTATCTTTGCTGCACTAACATTACTTAGCAGACAAAAGTCATTACAAAACAAAAACACATGTAAAGCAGGAAGAAAACACACTGCTAGAACTCAAGTGACTTATTTGAATGTTTAGTAGTTGAAGAATGAAATATTAACTGTATTTTATAATGGCATGAATGATATTTGTGTATGAACAAAATCTCTTATGGTACACATTTCCCTGAGGCCATGTAAAAGAAGCAAAATTACTGTTAGTAAGAAAATGTCTGCTAAATGGGAGCTCATTTCTTTACTTTTACCAGAACATCTGGTAGCCAAGTATTTTAAATATTAAACTGAAACCTGTATACTTGCAATTAAGTTCATTGATATGTTTTAGTATATTAATGACTAAAATTTTTAAAACTATGAATCATTTTTTGGTAGGACATAATGCCTGCAATCACAAAACCTAACAGCACAGTAACTTTGACTTTGGTGTAAGTATTTCATAGTGAGTAAAGTGCTCAGTTACCTTATTCTTAAAGTCCTAAAATGAATGTGTTCTCTGACAAATTTGAGTTTGAATTATTTGGATCATTTTCTAATGTGAGCCATAAAAATAAATAGAATACATGCTAAAATGTGCTTTTTTTTTTTTTTTACATTTCTACAACCTAAAGACTAGTTTGGTTGAAAAATATAAAATTTAATAGCTTTTAATTTGTCATGTGGAATCTGATTCTGTGTGCCTTTATTACCTCCATATATTTATCTAAGTGAAACATAAAAGTGGTTGTAATAATGGGGAATTTAAAGCAGTTTTGCACATGAGCAGAAATGTTAACCAATATGGTGAATAAAGACTGAATGTAAATTATCAGAATTTCTGCTTTTTCTGATTTGTCTGCTAAAATAACTACAGCTTGGCTAGTAGATAAAAAAAATCACATCTCCTAATTAAGTTTTGGAGAATTATGATGAACATAATTGGAGAAAAAGAAGCAATTGTTAAGTACAGTAACAAGCTACACACACATATACATAATTTTTAAATTACAATACAATGTATATTAAATAGTAGAAATTGTTAAAATATAAACTCACAGCCCTTCTTTTGCTCAACTAGTGCTCTGCTGTTCCTACATATACATTCAGAGATAACCTATGTGTGCAGAAATCAGAATAATTTAGTATAACTAGTTCTCATTGATTCTCTTCTTTTATGTCTCTTAAATTGAACATTTTCCAATCTCTTGCCATTTGGTTTAGGTCCTTAGCTATGTTTCATTTATACTATTCTAATAGCTACATTCCTGTCAACAATAACATTTCAACATTCCCAACTCCCTTACTCATTTCTGCTACATACATTTGTCCATAAACCAAAGGGGATCACATCACTTCATTTCAAATTCACTTCGCTGATTTTTACCTTTCGTGTCAGCACCAACTCCATTCCCTTGACATGCATGTTCTGAAACATATTAGTCTGTCTGAGCATTTCTGTTAAATCATGCTACACTCCTAAAAACTCCCAGAACTTTTCTCATCTTCCTCCATTGCTGCCTTCCACTTACTGTTATGTTACTTTCTCTTCTAAATTCCTTTGAACTCTTCCAAGTAAGAGTAATTGATTGATTCTATGTAATATGGTTCCAGATGTTTTATTTATATATCATTTAATATCTTACTATTGTATAAACACCAAATTTTATAACATTATAAATTCCTTGAAAACGTAATTGCACTCCTATTTATATATTTTCAAGTTAACATAATAACATTGAAATGAATGTTTTCATCATATATTTGTTGAGTAAATGACTGGATGAATAAATGGATCTGAGAAAGTCCAGATGAAAGGGGACATGAAAATATTATTAGAGAAACTTGCTGTGTATAGAAGGACAATTCCAAATTATCACAAAACATCAAGTAATTATTATTTTCAGGTTATCTTGAGACAACCTCACACAGACCAATACTTTCTCCTCAAATACTGAGTTACATATTTTTCATCAAAATGATTTTTTGTTGTTGTTTTATATAACTTCAGCCAGCATGTACATTTGCAAAGTTACATTTATTCTATAAAGTTTATGGACATGTAGGCTCAGGCTCAGAGATTTTTTATACTAAATATTTACTACTGTTTTGTCTATCCATAATATAATTTTATTTATAATCTATTTTTTATTTAGTCAGATCTATGAATCCAGGCCATAACCTGAGGAAGATAATCTCTAAAAAGTGATACGAATTCAGGCCCTCCCTGGTGGTGCAGCAGGTTAAAAGACAGCACTAAGAAGCTAAAGCTACTTCAGCATGAGTTGAATCCCCACCCCAGAGATGACTTGCATGGCGCAGCAGACCTCTCATGATGTACCCACTGCTCCCCTCAGCAGTGTGCTTCATCAGTTGGCCTGTTCTGCTACCCACTCTGTCTCTGGTGAATCCTCTCATCGCCCCTGCACCTCTGGCCTGTACCCTAGTTCTGTATGCATAAATAAATGTCTTTTAAAAAATGATAAGAATTCATTGTGCTTAAATCCTATGAAATCTGAAGTGATTATCATAGTACTTCCCTAAATATGGTAATTGATACAAGCAGGGCTAATGAAAATTTTGTAAACAAATAAAACTTTGAGTTTTATTATTGACTATGTATAGATAAGATTAGCTTTATAATTTGCAAGATCATTGTAGAGCGCTCTATTCAGCACAGCATAGTAATAATCACTATACTAGCCTATATTTTCTATACTAACAATAATTGACTAATAATATTTATTAATAGAATAACTATATAAATAATGTAAGGTTGAATTAAGTAAATGTTTCTTGCCAGATTTTTTAACTGCTGGAATATTTTATGTTCTAATATGAGAAGAACAGAGACAAATTTATAGAAAATAATTTGATGTGACATGTTTTATTATCATAAATATTTTTGCTTTGTTTTCATGTGTGAAAACACACATCTCATTTTACCTGTATTTTCTACTAGTTGAAGTAATGATTCCTTATTAGAATATGTGTAATTTCATTAAAAAGAACACTTAAATCCAATAATGGGTATTAGAAAAATCTAGTCAACTTTTGTAAAATTATACTTAAATGATGATAAGTGTATATATATCTGATATAAAGAGCCAAAGATGCAGTTATTGGATCATGAGGAAAAAAATACATTTTGCACATTGTGCTTCTGGATTAATACTGAAACTGTTATCTCTGAATCTTGTTATATTGATAAAAATGTTTTTATTACTTCTTTATATCACTTACAATGTATTATAATTTCCCCTATTAGTCATATAAATGAGCATAATTAATTGTACCAAAATTGCTAAATTTTATTGATATGGATAATGACTATTTTTTCATTTTAATATGCTATTCAATCATGCCAATTTCCAATGAATACATTCACCTTGAAAATTTGGCATATTTAAGCTTAGGGTATTTTTTTTCTCATAAGAAGCCCATATTTTTTTTTCTCTTTATGATTAAATAGCTGCCCTAAAGTCAAATTGTCTAAAAACATACTGAGAATCAAAATACTAATATGTGTATGTGTGCATATGTGTGTGTGTATAAATCTGAGAAACCGTATATGAAAAAGTCAAAGATCTACTTAAAACTGTCAGATCAACACTTGCTATGAGCCCTACAGGTATAATTCTACAACTTGACACCAACATTTAAGCTTTGAAAATTATATGACCATTTATTACATTATGGATGGTACATGTCCTCAAATCTTTTCTATCACTTATAATACAAGACAGAACTACCCTATTAAATTTTTCTTCTGTTATAAATAATAACCTAACCTGCTTCTCCCCTTCTTTTTCAGGATGAAGAATAAATTTTGGTATTTTGAGTTTGGCACCTCTGAAACTTTCTCAGCCACCTGCAAGAAACTACATGAATCTGTAGAAATAGAAGTAAGAAAAAATTGTTTATTTTATTTTATGAAATTACTTGAGTTTGATAGGAGTGATTGATTATACTTTGTGAAATTCATATTGCTTCACCCAAGATTCTAAATATTCATCTTTCTGTTGCTCTTGTGAATTTTGTTACTATGTGAAATAGTAGGATAAAGTTAAGTTTCGGAATGAGTTGTTTTTATACAGTGTAAAGGTGAGGCATAACTTTAGAAATCAATGGAGAAAGTACTGGACATAGTGTGGATAGAAAAACTCAACATAAAAGAAAGTAGGTGAAGAGGAAAAAAATGTTGTAAGATAACATAAAAAAAGTTATTATTTTTAGGTCTCAGTATCGTCTAACCTTTAAAAACAGTTCACTGAAATTGTACTTACTTTCATGAATAAAGGTTAAAAAATATACTTTTCCATTTCATTCCCATTCATTAGCTAGATTTTCTTAGTTCCCAAGGTTGCCATTTCCCCATTACATTTACAGGAAGGGGAAATGCCAAGAGAGAGAGCAAAGATAGCAAGAAAAGTTATACTTTGAAAAGATTGGGAGCAAATAAGCCTACCAAAAATATATAGACACTGTAGGACTAAAAAGTTTGGAAATGGGTTATAAAAGAAAATGATTTTGTTTTCTTGATTTTGGGGTTAAGGAAAAGTTATATTTTTATATGTGGTAAGTACAAACTAAAAGAAGAGAAATTATATATATATATATATGAACACCTATTGACTAGTGGCTATGAATTGGGAACTCCTGGATTCAGTACTTTTCAGAGTAAATGAAAAAGTAAATACAGGGGCCCACTCTGGGCACAGTGGGCTAAAGTGCAGCAATATGAGCTGGCTGCAGCCATTCCAGAATAAATTTTATCCCCAGCAGGAGGTGACCCACATGGCATGGCGGACCTCTCCTGACCCGCCTGCTGCTCCCCTCAGCAGTGTACTTCATCGATCTGCCTTTTCTGCTTCCCATTCTGTCTCTGGTGAATCCTTTCACTGCCCCTGCACCTCTGGCCTGTACCGGATACATAAATAAATATTTTTTTAAAGTAAATACGTAATTTATATACTGAGCCAGAACTCATAAGTGGTACATTTTCAGGTAGTAAGTTTGTCAAACAGAAGTAGATATGGGCCACATATCTACTTAGGATCTACATAGGATCACAGTGGCCTCAGTAGGTTTTCATTTATCCTAGCTGTCCCATTTGCTGTTAATAATAATGATAGCAAAAGTTACTAATGACTATTTCAAGCTATAAACTTTTTAGACCTTTTCTGTCATGGAAAGGAAAAAAAAAAATTCTTCATGACTGAACCGTATTGTAATACTTAAAAGGAATATAATTAGACTTAAAAGGAATATAATTAGAAAATATGAGTTTGAGCCCAATGTGAACTTTCTATGATTACTACACTTGTACATATGTGTACACACTATATGGAATATAATGATACAAAGCAACGTAATTATATACATAATGCATATTATAGACATTTTAAAATCTCTAGTTTTAACTATTTTTAAATGATATGTATATAGTGAGTTTACCTGCACAAACCTATACACAAAGAAACTTGAAAAAAAGTAAAACCTGGCTACTGACTGAGTATAGGGTAAATGATCTGAAACCTCTTCTATCCTTCCTTAATCTTATTCTTCCCCTGGACACAGGTTGACAAAAAACATTTAGGAGAGACTTTTTTTTTTTTTTTCATGTGTTGGAAAACTCAGTACTGTCAATATGTAAGTTCTTCACAACTGGACCTATAAGTTCAATTTATCCAAGTTAAAATCCCAATAAATTATTTTGTGGATAACAGTGAACTGATTTTATGTGGAAAGTAAAAGGACACAGAATAGCCAATAAACTTTTGAGGAAGAAGTGGAGGGCAATATCACCTGACTCCAGGAATTACTATGAAACTGGATTACTTAAATTAGGTGGTTTTGGTGAAAAAATGGACAGATCAGTGGACTACAAAGAGATCCCAAAACTAGACCCCTATAGATATCACCAGTTGACCTTTGATGGAAAAGGAAAGATAATATAGTTGAGCAAGAAGGTCTTTTAGATAAATGTGCTTAAACAACTGGATAGCATGTTAAAAAAAAAAAAAAAAAGCAAAAATGAGCTCAAAATAGATCTCAGACCTAAAACATAAAATGCAAAACTATAAAACCTCTGTAAGGTAAAATAAAATAAAGTATATAGACATGTCATTTTTTTTAAAGATTTATTTATTCATACAGAACTGGGGTACAGGCCAGAGATGTGGAGGGTGAGAGGATTCACCAGAGACAGAGTGGGGTACAGAACAGGAGATCGACGAAGTACACTGCTGAGGGGAGCAGTGGGTGGGTCAGGAGAGGTCTGCCTCGCCATGTGGTCTCCTCCAAGGCAGGCAGGAATCGAACTCATGCGGAAGCGGCTTTAGATTCTCAGTGCTGTGCTTTAACCCACTGCACCACCAGGGAGGGCCTAGACATGTCATTTTTATACAATACCAAAGAAACCATGACAAAATAACTGATAAGCTGGACTTCCCTAAATCTAAAACTTCTGCTCTGTGGAAAACAATGTAGAGAAAATGAGAGTCATGGGCTAAGAGAAAATATTTGTAACAGGTACAGCAGATAAATGACTATTATTCAAAGAACTTGTAAATCTCAACTAAAGAAAACAAACTATTCCATTGAAAAATGTGACTGAGATCTTAACAGACCCTCACAAAAGACTATACGGGTCTTAAATAAGAATATGTAAAGGTGACCACATTATATAGAGAAATGCAGCATTGTTATATGTGAAAAACAATAATGAGATACCACTACCTACTTATTAGAGTAGTCAAAATCTGAAATATTAAACATACAAAGTGCTAGTGAGGATGTGAAGCAATAAAAACTCTCATACATTGTCGATGGGGTAGCATATTGGTGGTCACTTTGGAAGACAGTTTTCTAATTCTTTTAAAATTAAACACATTATTTCCAGTGATACATCAATCATGTTTATTGGCAACTCCCAAAAGGAGTTGAAAATTGATATTAACACAAAAATCTGCTCATGATATTTATAACAACGTTGTAGTTGCCAAAATTTGGAAACACCAGTAGATGAATGGATGAATCAACTGTGGTATATCCAAACAATGGAAGAGTACTTAGCTCTAAATATAAGAAAGCCATCAAGCCTTGAAAAGACATAAAGTAAATTAAATACATATGCCTAAGTAAAAGATGTCAATCTGTAAAATGTACCTGCTATGTGATTCTCACACATGATATTCTGGAAAGTTAAGACAATTAAAAGGAGACAATACAGAGCGAGTGGGGCTGCATCGGTGGTACGCAGGCAGGGGCTGGGGGGGGGGGAGGGGGCGACACAAAGCCGGCATTGGTGTTGGAGACACCCCGCCTGCCCCGGACTCCCCAGGGCCCACCCTGCGGCACTGCCCAGAGGCTGCCGGCACTAGGCCTCCCTGACAGGCAGAGGAGTGTTGTGGACCTTGGCCGCCTGACCCTGGGAACCAAGAAGAAGAACTGCCCTGGAGGACATGTGCGGGTTAGTTTACGGAGTTGTTGCTGGTCGTTCAGCATCCCTGGAGTGTCCCCCAGGGGAAGGGGGTAGGTAGTGGTCGCGTCTCCCCTCTCTGAGCTCAGAGTCCCGGCCCCTTGGAGCAGGCGGCTGCTGATCACACTCTTGTTTTCCCAGCTCTTACTGTAACAGACACTAATTTGCAAATGTCTTTTTTTGTTTTTTTTTTTTTTTAGATTTATTTATTTGTGCATACAGAACTGGGGTACAGGCCAGAGGCCCAGGGGCGGCAAGAGGCTTCACCAGAGACAGAGTGGGGAGCAGAACAGGCAAATAGAGGAAGTACACTGCTGAGGGGAGCAGCGGGCTGGTCAGGAGAGGTCTGCCACGCCATGTGGTTACCTCCGGGGCAGGCGGGAATCGAACCCATGTGGAAGTGGCTTTAGCTTCCTAGTGCTGTGCTTCAACCCGCTGCACCACCAGGGAGGGCCCGCAAATGTCTGTTCTTAAGCCCCTGGCCCTTGCTGACTTAGACCGGACTCCTCATTTAGATTTCCATCGTGTATTGTTCAGGACCTCTCAGCTGGCAGCACAGCGTAGTATGACCGTGTCTCACGGGAGCTGTTCATTCTGGATTTCTTCCTCTCCCAGAGACTGCCACGGTGCCTGTCTTATTTTTAAAGAGATTCATAAGTACTGAGAAAAGTTGGGCCGGTGTGGTGGCTCAAGCACTATCAAGTTATCACCAACCACTGCAACACGAGTTCGATCCCCCTCCAGGGAGTGACCCACAGAGCACAGCAGACCCCTCCTGTCTCCCCGCTGCTCCCCTCAGCAATATACTTCTTTAATCTGCCTGTTCTGCTCCCCACTCTGTCTCTGGTGAATCCTCTCACCCCACCCCAGCTCTTGTACACATAAATAAAAATAAATATGTTTTTTGTTTTTTTTTTTAAAAGGAGACAATACAAAGATGAGGGACTGGAAGGGAGCAATGAATAGGTGCAACAGAGAATTTGCAGGGTCGTGAAAATGTTTTGTGTGATACTATGATGGTGAATGAATGTTATTATTCATTGCATTACCTCCACAGAATATATTTAACCAAAAGTGAACCATGCCTTATATTTTTTATGTATTTTATTTATTTATGCATACAATATGTAGGGACCTGGGCAGAGGGCTGGAGGGTAAAAAGATTCACTAGAGACACAGTGGGGAGCAGAATAGGCAGTTCCACTGAAATACACTGTTGGGGAGCAGGGGCCAAAACAGGAGAGGTCTGCTGCACCATGTGTGTTAGTTCTCTGTCCAATATCTATCAAACACAGGCTGTTGTGGTTATAGTGCTGAATTTTGGCCCCTAAGCCACAGAGAGGCCCAACCATACTTTAAATTATGGATTTAGAGTGACATGGATGGATTATTATAAATTTTTTCCAATGTACCACTCTACTG